GACCTAGCAAAAATATGAACTGTTGTCATGGTCTTCCCATTTCTGCTCAGCTAACCCACGTATCCCAACACAGCAACTAGACAGTATAGTCCACTGTGGGTTTGTGGGCCCATAGATAACACCTGTTTGACCCACGTTCAGGACTAATAAGGGACGCAAGTAGTCAACACAGGGAGATGAAAATGTCTCGTCGTTCCTGATAAAGACTTTGGACGACAGAGGTGGGAGCTTCCGAACACCAAATCCCAGAAGGAAGCCTTTATCATCAGTGACTGAAAATGCTGAAAACCCAAGCACGTCGCAGAACAAACCCCAGGCGCCCTGGCTCCCACAGAGACAGAACAGGAAGCCAGGGCTCAACTACCCGTCGCCCCCGAAAGCACCGAGACTGGACAGCTGCGCCAAGAGAACTGTGATGGAAGAAACACCACGGAGAAGAACACCTGTCCCCTCCCAGCCCAGTCCTTCCGGGATTAATCTGTGCAGAGCAGGACTGGCCGTCACCACTCACGGGATCTGCGGAGTCCGAGGGCCCCAGACCCTGTGGGCGCTCTGACAACTCTCACTCCTGTGCGGATCCCGCAGCGCGATCTCGGCCGTTGGCCGGCTGGGGTCCGCGCCGGGGGTCACGTGCACCAGCGGCCACAGCCATCCCTGCCCGGACTCCGTAAAAACACAGACACCGCCCCCCGAGAGGCAGAGGATGAAGACGCGGCCCAAGGCTTTCATCACACCTGACCCTCAAGCGCCCGTCGCTTTCATATTACGGGACAGAAAGGGAGGCACTTCTAAGTCCTTCCGCTCCAGACCGAACGGGGTTACGGAAAAGCAGCTGCGGGACCAGCCAGCTGAACAGCAAAGCACGGGTACTTAAAAGCCGGGCACAAAAATACGGGCACACGTAAGCGGCCGTCAATTTCTCAAGGTGACTGTGAGCAAAACCGACCGTGGGTGTAGCTAATGAGAAAAATCCAATTTTTAAGCTAACATTAACATTTTACAAAACTCGAGAGCCTCCTGATCCTTAGACTTGCCCTGACGATACCAATGGGGAGAGTCACAGCTGTGATTTTTTGATAATGAGCAATGAAATGTATCAGCTGCACAATTCAGTAAAGGCGTATTTTCCAAATGACTAATGCATCATGGGTTAAAGAACCAAAGTGCAAGACTCACCAAGGAATCTTAATGCATTTAACCCTTAACACGGGTTTGATCATCACTGGTCTACTTAGAATATGGATTTTTTTTCAATGATTATATAAATGTACACTATCAATATAGTACAGTATTGTAAATGTATTTTCCTTACTTTTTTAATTAAAACTTTGCTCTAGTATGCTTTAAGAATACAGCACATAATATACAGAACATACAAAATATGTATTAATCAACTGTTTATCAGTAAGGCTCCAGTCAACAGTGCACTATTAGTAGTTAAGTTTGGGGGGAATCAATAATTATACACAGATTTTCACCTGTGTTGGGAGACTGGTGCCCCTAACCCTCGTGTTGTTCAAAGGGCCAACTGTGTAAGAGAAAACAGTAAGATTGCCTGGGTGGCTCAGTCGTTAAGCATCTGCCTTCGGCTCAGGTCATGATCCCAAGGTCCTGGGATCGAGTCCCGCATCGGGCTCCCTGCTCAGCAGGGAGCCTGCTTCTCCCTCTGTCTCCTGCTCCCCCTGCTTGTGTTCCTTCTCTCACTGTGTCTCTCTCTGTCAAATAAATAAAAAAATCTTTAAAAAAAAAAACAGTAAGATCACTTCACAGTTAAAGGATTAGTGGTTGCTAGGAGTTAGTGGGGAGGAAGGGATGAACAGAAGGGACGGAATTTCAAGGCAGTGAAACTCTTCTGTATGTTACAATCTCACAACCCTGAGACCATGACCTGAGCCAAAATCAAGAGTTGGACACTTAACTGAGCCACCCAGGTGTCCCAGGAACTCTGTACTTTCTGTTCAATTTTGCTGTGAACCTAAAATAGCTCTTAAAAAATGTATAAATTAGTAAGTTTTTAAAATTTAATTTAAACTTAAATTTTTTAAGACCATTGATATTTTAGACTCCACACTCAAAATACCTTTCAAAAGTTTCAGTGTAACATCAAAAAGAATATCCAATTACCTGAAAAATTCTCCTTTTCTAAATACATACTTCTGAGAAGCTGAATTTTCTTCATATACTGGAACCAAAGCCAACATATTACACAAGATTAGATGCAGAAGCAGATATAAGAATCCAGCTGTCTTCTATTAAGCCAGACACCAGAGCTTTGCTAAAATGTGTATCAATGCCATTCTTCTAAATTTTCTACATCATTATTTTTCTTGAGAAGGACTACATTAACATGTACTGCCATTGCTTTTTTTAAAGGAATGTGTCTTTTTTAAATGAATTCTTAAGTATTTTAAAAATCTGCTGTAATTTCTACCTCGGTAAGTATCAGTAGATACAACCCATGTGAATACAAGCTCTTTGGGGTCCTCAGGAATACTTAGGGCTGTAAAGAAACTCTTGAGACCAAGACGTTTAAGAGTTGCTACTATGCATTAGTAGGTTTCTTCCATATAGAAGAACGCTTCTAGAAAACAATGTCCATCTGTCTGCAGAGTTGACAGCCGGGTGTCCTCTGACTTACAGGATGGGGGTCAACAAGTAAAGGGCCTGGGCGGCTGGTGTGGACAGGAACGCGCCCTGCTCAGCTCCGGGCCTTGGCTCTTTGGAGAGTGTGGGGAACCTCAGGGAAGAAGCAAGAGACCTAACAAATGACTGACTACACAATTCCCCCCATTTACATTAAGGTAAAGAAGTAAGAGCCATATATTATTTTCAAACGTAAGTTAAAAAAAAAAAAACCTGAAGGTGTGGTTGAACAAGAGATGAAAATTTTAAGTACTTCAGACTCCCTTTCATCTTGACCACACACAGCTGACCCATCAATCACTTCCCTTCGTGCAGCCCAAAGTCAGCCCATAACTTCACACTCCCCCCAAAACTCGACTATAGCCTCCTACTGACCAATAGCCTTACCAGCAACAGTTAACACATGATTTTATGTATTCTACACTGTACTGCTAAAATAACACCCTTTTCTTTTTTGGGGGGGTATTTCTAAACTACAGTTTGTGAGTTTTTTCAGATCGCAAATCTCAAAAAAATTGTCCAATATATTTACTTTAAAAATCCGCTTACAGTGGCCCCACAGTTCACACCTGTGTGTTCGAGGTTCAACCATACTATTCATAGACCACCAGCTAGCTCTCCAGCAATCTGCATCAGGTCACTGAGCCTAAATCTGCACATTTACAAAACAAGGTAACACGCATTCAAGGGACGCAATAAATACACCTAAAGGAGCATCTGACATTCGCCTACTGGTTCAACACCACGAATACCTGTTACAACAGATTCTCATTATGAGGAGCATAAGAGAGACTAAAACCCTACTCTCTGATCTAGGCAGAGGATTCAGCAAGGGGATAAAATATGTCACCGTTTACTTCTATTCCATGCAGTATTTTCACTGAATGCAAAAAAAACACATTAGTTCTTACACATTATGAAAACCAACTAGCTGAACAAAGCCAAGTAAGGTAAACTTTCAAATAAATGAAATTCAAATAATTAGGGTTCTTATGCTGGATAACAGCCCATGCAATTTTTAAAAATATTAACACAGCTTACGAGAACAGTTTGTCCAAAAAGCACAAGCTAAGGAGTCGGTAGATCCATGTTCGAATTTTACTTTGTAGTTGCTTAAAGGATGTGGGCTATGTGCTTAAAGCCACCAGCACCTGGTACTGGCTATTAGGGCCGCCATGACTCAAGCAGCGGGAATTTAGTTTCTCACCGTCTCTGGTGGCTGCAAGTCCGGAGACCAGATGCTGGAAGACATCGTTTCTTCTGAGGCTTCTCAGCCCGGCTTGCTGACAGCCCGATGGCACCTTCACAGGCTCCTCCCTCTGGATGTGTCTGGGACCTGTGCTCTTCTTAGGAAGACACCAGTCCTCTCACATTTGGGCTCAGAGGACCTCATTTTGCCTCAGTTAACTCTAAAGGCCTTATCTAGAACGGCAGTCACACTCTGAGGTACTAGGGAGATCAGGACTTCAACATATGGATTTGGGAGGCGCAATTCAGCCCATAACCACGGTGGACCCTCAATCAAGCAAAAAGAAGTTTCTAAAATGATTTCATACCTTCTTTCAATTCCTTAAGGGCAGGGAGAACCCTCCCACCGACGCGAGGCCGTGGACCCACAAGTGCATCAGCACCTCACGCTGCAAACAAAGGCAAGGCAAGATCCTGGAGGATGGAGAAACTTTCACTCCTCCCAGGGTATGCTCTACGTAAAGGCACCTAAAGGAGTCACAGGATAAGAAGACACATGGAGTGTTTACTATTTGCTTTCCCCGGGCCTCAGAAGTCTGCCGCGGACCCAGGTCTGGGGAAGAACGGGGATGCTCAGGCCCAAGGAGGAGACACGGACCCCTGCCTGTGTCCACCTCCTCTTCCCACCAGCATCTATGCAACAAAGCCATTACACTATTTTTTTTGATCCCAATGCAAATTTACCTAATTTTATTTAATTTTTAACATGGATTTTACTTATAATACACAAAGCAACTACACAGATATCTTAAAAGAATTTCATGAATCACATTATTTAAGAACACTTTTTTAAAGATTTACTTGAGAGAGAGACAGAGAACGAGGGGAGGGTCAAAGGGAGAGGGAGAAGCAGGCCCCTGCTGAGCAGGAAGCCCGACGCTGGGCTCGACCCCAGGACCCCAAGATCATGACCTGAGCTGAAGGCAGACACTTGACCGACTGAGCCTCCCAGGCACCCCTAAGAACACTTCTTAGTAATTTGTTTTATGAATTCCACTTTTATTTAACAGCTAACATCTGAGTGCTTACAATACATAGATACGACTGTACAGTAAGTCATTTAACCCTGATATAACCCTATTAAGGCGTGGAGAAAATACTTTTTAAGTCAGGAGGAAAAAAACGATGCAGTCTTTTTAAAGAATTTTATTAAGAGGTTCTCACAAATTAGGGAAAAGCTTATTGACCAGTAAGAAAGAAGTCCTTATTTTAAAACACAAGTGGAAAAACATCAAAGAGAATTTGGCACGGTAAGTGTGGTAAACTCCAGTGGTCCCGCCCGGTGTCCAGGTCTTGTCAACTGCACACTCTCAGGTCGTACTCAAAGCTTCCAGAAAGAACACCAAACCCAGGCCCTCCGACAGGACACCTCAGGGCACTGAGGCTCCCCCGTAACCTCCCCCGAACTCGCACACGCACACTAACACAGCCCATCACACACAAACCCCCCTTCGCCTAAACAAAGATTAGGACACAGGATACTAATGTTCTGAAACAAGATCACTAGTAGCAAAGCAGAATACAACACAAATGTCCTAATTAAAGAACCAATAATTCTTTTATACTTCAGACAGCTTCATGTGTTCAACAATATGCTAAAGACCTTTATGAGAGAAAGGTACGAACAGTGCCCTTAATTACCCCCCTGCAGATGGGGCATTTTCTCAGAGAGGGGGCACATTCCTGGCACACGACCAGGTGGCCACATGGAATGAACACTATGGAAACTTCTTTGTCCATGCACACTTTACACGTCCTCTCTTCCTGCAGCCTCCTCAACTGCTCTTCCAGTGACAGACCTAGTAAGAACAGACTTCAGTGAAATTTAGTTTCTACTTTAACTCCCGTTAAAGAAAAAAAAAGGGTAATATTTCCCGTTGGTCTTAAGTCTTCATTTTGTTTTACCTGAAACATCTTCAGTTGGAATATACTTCATGTTCTTGTCCACTGAGGAAAGAAAAACATACAAAAGGCATTATTCTACCAAATATAAGACGATGTCACCCACTACTCATTTCCTTGAACAACATAGATGCTAGCTACAGATGAGGAATTACGCAGTCATACTACTGGGGCAATGGGAAGACCTCCCTGTTTTAGAACTAGTTAAATGTACAGACTAGAGGTGGCTAACTGGATTTATCATTTGTCAAACATAAACATGAACATAATCCCACAGATTTCTGAAATAATTTTACCAGAAACTCACCAAATAAGTTCTTATATAACGGAGAGTCAATTTCTTTTAAACAACTTTTGAAGATGTTGGCAGCAGTGTTTCCTTTAACTAAAACGGTATCAATCAGTTCTCTTGCTTGCAAAGGTATCTGTGTTTTTTGCTTAATGATATCGTGTTCCTGTTTATTAATTACATTGGCCTTTAAAAGATTATCCAGGATAGGAAGCACACAAGTCAACTGCTGAAAGAGAGCCATTCTATTCCTCCGAATTAATGACAAATCATCTTCATTTAAGAAAGAAAAAAGAAAAAAATCCGTTAGATTTTAAAGGGCTCCAACTATATACACACAGTCATTAACAACCAGCCCTACAAACAATTTAGGCACTAAATTAACAGGTGCTTGAAAAAGAAGCATAAAGTTACTTGTTTGCACTTAAATTCACACCCATCATTCAGAAAACTGCTGGAAGATTTAGCTAAGGCATATCATATAGTACACAAAACACACAAGGTCTCTGTTTTTGTCATTTCTAAAAGTGGAGATATTTACACAGGTCTTCGAACCCTGCTGTTCCAAAGAAAGAAAGCAGAATTTTAAAGGACAGTAAAACTATGGAATTAATAATACTGACTTCTATTTGCATCCTATCACTTTAGTTTTATGAACACTTTCGTACAAACTCCCTTATTTGATACCAAAGATCCTATCACTTGAATAAGGCGCGTATGACTACTTCTCATTTTCAAACACGGAGGAAGAAACCTCAGAGCACAAGCAACCTCCTCAAAGAGCCAGGCTCCTGCTGACGTTCTCCCGACCCCGTGCTGCAGGAGCACGGCTGCAGCGGGACTGTCACCTGCCCCGCGGGGACAGACCCAGGCCCTCACGCCAGCCCCGCCGCTCCCTGGCTCTGTGCCCTGAGCCGTCACTCCCACATCCATCTACCTCACAAACAACATTTCCATGTGCTTGGCACTACGCTGAAATGTTTTGTTTGCAGCTTCTCATTTAATTGTCCCAGAACCCCATGCAATTCATACTATTACCTCCATTTCATAGAATCGCAACCTGCTTTCTGACAGAGCCAGGATTTAAACGCAAACCTGTCTCAATTTGGCAATCAGACTTTACCGTTCCTCTCCAGGAGCACACGATAAGGTGCTCTTAAGCCACGCCTAGCATTACTTACCAGCTTCAACACAAAGTGTCTCCCAGCCCCCACCCCCCTCAACACTGTGCAGCCTTGGCCTCTGCAGCTGCTACATGCTGGACGCCACAGCTCGGCCGCGAGCCCCGGGAGCAAGCACCGCGGCTACGACAGGCATGGGGTCGGGCACGGGCGCGCGCGCTCCGTTCGTATTTCCCGGGGGAACGATTACTCAACACACTGAGCGTCCCCTGCATGAACACCACAGGCAGCCCCCCGATCAGCTCCCCACTGACTCTGGGCCGGGCAGGGGCCTGTCGGCAACTAAGACTTCACAATCAGGTCCATGTTCTGTCAAAGGACCACTGAGCAAGCACCAGGGAGTCAAATACCATGTTAAGAATATGATTTCAGGGACATTTTTTTTAAAAAACTGAAATAAGGCCTGCACTCAACTTTCAACTCTTCCTTTCTCAAACAATATAAATGTTATATATGAGCGAGGAAAGTAATACACTTCAAGAAGCTATGCTAAAATCATCTGATTGGCACCGATCACAGATCTTACTGAAACAGAAATGCAGAAAGGAAGCTGTCATGCCTGGTTCCCCGCGTGGCCCACCATGCAGAAGGGGGAGCGCCTGCAGGTAGGTATCGGACACACACCAGCACTCCTGTGACGGGTCACCCAGGCCTCCGAGCCTCGCAGAAACAGGGCGAGTGACTAACAATCCCGAGTACCTGATGCCATTTCTTCAGTTTGTTGTTCCTTCTCTTCTTCTCGGGTCTCATCTTCAGCATTAAGAAGTGCTAACACAATATCGTTAACGGTTCTGTAATTCTCCCCAGTGGTCAGGATCTTACTCTGCACCGTCTGCCTCACCAGGCTTCGACTGAAGCCCATCTCCAAGGCGGCCTTCACCACGGGGGTGTTCATCATGACTGCGTCTTCTGAAGAACCTTCTCCAGGTCCAAAATGGACAACTATTTGAAAAGACATGTACCAATGCTTAACGCCACAAATATCAAAATACAGAGAAAAATCATGACTACAGCAGTCTTCACTCTCATGCTGTTCATATCCTGGTAAGGCACATGAGCTATTCATGCACCAATTACCTGTAATTCCCACAGAAGTATGAACACAAGAGGATCAAATGAGAGTGTAACAATATGCTCTATTTTTAAAATATCACTTCCCGCATTACATCTTGGAACCTACTCAGTGAGAGACTCTGTAAGGACAGGGCTTAGGAATCTATGTCTTCCTGAAAAATACCAAAATGGGGGTGCCTGGGTGGCTCAGTTGGTTAAGCGTCTGCCTTCGGCTCGGGTCATGATCCAGGGTCCTGGGATTGAGTCCCACATCAGGCTCCTTGCTCAGCAGGGACCCTGCTTCTCCCTCTCCCTCTGCCTGCCTGTCTGCCTACTTGTGATCTCTCTCTGTCAAATAAATAAATAAAATCTCTAAAAAAATAAAAAAACAGTAAAATCCCAAAATGATTCTGATGTACAGTCATTTTTGGGGGCCAATATGCTCTAGGACTGTAGGTACACCCCAGGAAAGCAGGGGAAATCAACAAACACTTCATTAAAGCTGACGTCAGAATTTGGACTTGAAGGATAACCGGGATCTAGAGAGGCAGACGGATAAACCAGAGAGAGTAACACAGGTGGAGGGAGAGTGAAGTGGAAGACTCGTTCACGCAAAATACGTCTAACAACGTAGTAACAAAACGTGGCTGAAGTAGTCACGTGACTGCGATCACGACAGACGCTCTGAGAACAGAAAGCTGTGTGAGGTGACTGAAAGGAACGAGGAGGGATGAGGACCAGTGACATGGGGTGATCGGAGAAGCACTTTCTGGGAACAGGGTCAACGCTGACCAGTACGGCACGTCGGCGGAAATTACAAAAAGCCATCATCCTTCAAGACGCCTGACTGCCCTCTGCTGGACAAGTGCTCTAATAAACACGACTGCAGCACAGCCACCCACACACGGCTCACGGCTCAGGCGCAAGCCTGTGGGGAGAGGCAACAGCACAACAAGCGCATGAACCGTAAGAAGGATCACGGGAATGTGTGAGAGGAATCTTCTAGGCAACAAGAGCAGCACAAAAGCCCGATTCGAGACAAAATCATGACATTCAAGAACTAGAAAGGGGCGCCTGGGTGACTCGGTCGTTAAGCACCTGCCTTCGGCTCAGGTCACGATCCTGGGGTCCTGGGATCGAGCCCTGCATTGGGCTCCCTGCTCAGCGGGGAGTCTGCTTCTCCCTCTCCCTCTGCCTGCCGCTCCCCCTGCTCGTGCTCTCTTTCTGTGTCAAATAAATAAATATTTAAAAAAAAAAAAAAAAGAACTAGAAAGAAAGTGGTGAGCAGCAGTCAGAAAGGAGGGTGATCCCCAGACCGTGTAGAGCCAGTTTATTTTTCACTCTAGGTGTGACAGAATGTTCTGCAGGCATTTCAAGTGAAGAATGATAAAACCTGGTCTGTGTTTTCAGAAGGTGATTCTGGCAGCTCTGTGATAAACGTTCATGATGTGAGATGGAATGAGACCGGCCAGGCCATCACGAAGATGGTGACTGCAGTATGGATTGGGCTGACAGTGCCCTGTGGAGACAGACAGACACACGAAGATTCTGGGTTGATGCCTGACTTGAGTCAACTTTCTGACCTCAGTAGGTGGGTACCATTAACTGACATGGGGAAGGCCAGACAAGATCAAATCTGAGGGATCCAAGACAGGAGAAAAGGTCTGCTCTGATCGTATTAACCTGAAACACCCATTATAATCAAGTAGAGATTTAAACATGTAGTTGGACATGCCAGCCTGGAGCTAAGGAAATGAAGAAATAAATTTGGGCCAAGTGCTGAGAAGTACTCCATCATTTATGGTTTGAAAAAGGAGTCACCAAAGGAGACTGTTCATGATTAACCAGAGAAATAGAGGAAAACCAAGAATGTGGTGTCCAGGAAGCCAAGTGAAGGTGTCTTAAGAAGGATGCAGGAGAGTCATGTCAGCAAGACTACCAAGTAAGATGTCCGCCGCTTGTACTGTGACTCAACAGCACCTGCAAACAACGGTGCCTTTGTGAAAGCTTTGAGATCCAGGCAGAAGATTATGAAACCTCCATACCCTCAGGACTTGGCTACAGGTCCACTTGGCTTGATCCTGTCACCAGCACCCTACACAAAAGAATGAGGACCCAGGCCTACCCACGCTTTAGCATACGGACACACAGACCTCGGTTCCAGCTGCAGACACTGAAATTGCCTGTGAACTGCATCCCACCATAGTCCGGGGAGCCCCTGGAGGTAAATCCACCAAATTCAGTCAGAATGCAGAATTGGAAGGACCAACCTATCCCAGCCTCAATCTGCAAACAGTCCTGCTAGCACAGGGACGCAGCAGGACACACCGGCCAGTGCACACCTGGAGCTCCTCTCTGCGCCTCAAAAGATCCTGCAACAGCTCCAGCCTCTCCAAATGCCATCAGGAAGCAGCCCTGCCCACCAAAGCACCTGGCGGGAGACATGCACACCTGCGCCTCCGCAGCCAAGTCTGCAGACCTCAATTTTGGCTGTAGAACCAGAAACAGTCCTCAGGCTCAGTTCCCGCCCCTCTCAGCCATGGTCCAGGACCCCTTCCTGCTCCAGATAGGAGTCCTTGCACAGACCCAGACGGAGCCACACCCATCTGCATATCTGGTAACAGTCCTGCCGTCTGTGGACCCTGCAGCAGATCTGGATCCCAGCATCCTGTAGAACAATGTACTGGAGACAGTACCACCCATCAAGGGACCAGACAGAATCCACACCAGCCTGAGTGCTGGTAACAAGCCCACCAAGCACAGATCCCACAACAGACCAAGCAACAGCCTCAAAACTGGTTCCAACCATGTATCCTCCAAGGGAACTGACAGGAAAAGGTCTTTTATCTGCCAAAACCAGTCTGTAAAGACTAGAAGAGATGCTTCTTTCTTCAAATGCACAGACACCAATGAAAGGCTGCTCATATCATGCAAAACAGGCAATAGGACAACACCAGAGGAAACCAAGAAAGGTCCAGTAATTTACCCCGAAGAAATGGAGATCTACAATCTGCCTGACAACAAACTAAATATTATCATCTTATACTCAACGAAATTCAAGAGAACAAAAATAGGCAACTAAAAGAAATGATAATACATTTCAGAAATACATTTCAGGAGTTTAATATAGAAAAAGAAACCACAAAAAAGAACCAAATAGAAATCGAGTGGAAGAATACAACAGAACTGGAAAACTGAGGCACGAGCTTCAACAACTGATCTGACCACAGAGAAGAAAGTATCAGAGAACTCGAAGGGAGATTATTTGAAATCAGCCAGTTATAGGAACAAAAACAAAAAAGAATGGAAGAGTGAAGAAAGTCTATGCGAGTTATGAGACACCGCCAAACAAATGAACATCCACCTCATAGGAGTCCCAGAGGAGAAAAAGGAGCATAAAGTTTATTTAAAGACGTAATAGCTGAAAATTTCCCAAATCATGGGAGAGATTTTCCAGTTCTGTTATTGGATTCTCCAGCAATAATAAAATCAAAGAACCACAAGCATGATCAACCCAAACATTATTCTCAAATGTGTAATAGTCAAAATGTGAAAACAGAGATAGAGAACTTTGAAAACAGCAAGAAAAAAACGACTGCTCACGTACAAGGGACACCCTCAGTCTCTCCGCACACTGCCCCACAGAGATCATGCAGGGCAGCTGAGACAGACTCGAAAAACAAAACCACAACAATAATAAAGGCAAAACCATCCTTCAGAAATGAAAAAAAAAGATAAGACGTTCCAGAAAACCAAAGTTGAAAGAGTTATTCAACATTAAACCTGCCCCACAACCAATGCTAACAGGTTATCTGCAAGCTGAAATGGACACTAAATAGCAACATGTAAACACACCCAAGTGTATAATTTCCTGGTAAACGTAAATATGGAGTCAAATTCAACATACCCTCTACTATTACTGCATCTCTAGCGTGAAAGTTAAAAAAACCAGTAATATTAGTAACAACAGCTAAAATAACTTGTTAATGGATCCATATCAGAAGTAAGACATCAACAGTGCAAAATGTGCGGTGAAGATAAGTCGAAGTCCTAAGTTGTTAACCAGCGTAAAGCAACGACTCCATCTCTTAAGATGTCTTAGGTGAAAATCACAGTGAACACAAAGACAAAACCTATAGTTAAAGCACACTATGACAGAAAATAACTAAAAAAGGACTACAGCAAGAGAAAAAATGAACAAAGGAACTGAAAAAAAAAATCATTATAAGAAGTCTTAAGAGGACCGGTATTTACTTTAAAATGTAAATGAAATGAACTACGTTCTCTAATCAAAAGACACAGAATGGCTAAATATATTTAAAGAAACAAGACCCAACAATATGCCTCCTACAAGAGACTCTGGCAAGCTGAAAAGTGAAGGGATGGAAAAAGATATTCCATGCACATGGCAACCAAAGAAATGAAGAGTGGCTGCCTAACAAGGTAGACTTTCAGCCAAATATCAGTGAGAAGAGACAGAGAGGGTCGCTACATCGGGACGAAGGGGCTGGTGCACCAGGAGGACATAACAAATGCACAGATGTATGTGCGCTGAACACCGGAGCACCTAAATATTTAAAGCAGGGGGCCTGGGTGGATCCGCTGGTTAAGCTGACTCTTGATTTCAGCTCAGGTTGTGATCTCAGGGTCTTGGGATTGACCACTGCCCCAGGCTCTGTGCCCATGGGGGATTCTGCTTGAGATTCTCTCTGCCCCTCCCTCAGCTCTCTCTCTCAAATAAATAAAATCTTTAAAAAATATATTTAAAGCACATATTAACAACACTAAACTGAGGAAAAGAGACTAATACCTACAAGCAGGGGGCTTCAATAGCCCACTTTCAATGTTGGCCAGAGCACCCAGACACAAGATTAATAAGGAAACCACAA